ATTCTTGATTCTTGATTCTTGATTTTTTTTCTCTCATCCTAAGTTCTTTTTTTGCTTTGCTTATGTGGCTCATAAGATTCTAGAAGTAGCTTCTATCACTATTCACAATTCCTGGTGATTCTACATTATTTTTCAAAGATTTCTGGTGATTTTAGGATATGGAGTTTTTTTTCCCACTTATTCGCAACTGTCAAATGGTTCAACCAAGTGCATTTGAGAAACTCATTTATAGAATTTGCTTTGGTTTATCCATCTAGTTATATTAACAACTTTTTTTTGGTAAATAAAAACTTTTATTACCAATAGCAAATCAGTACAAGAAGGGGAAAAAACTGCATATGGAGATATCCCAACTAGCAGTTTGGCACCTTATAGATCTGACCTACCAATACTTCCTGTTACTAATTTTATACTATCAAGGGTAAAAATTGAACCTTTCAAGTTCTGCGGCAAGTCTGTTCCTCAGTGATAGATAACTTCTTGGATGATTTTTCTGATGATGCCCTTAGAATCTGATTGCTTGGCTTGAAAAATTCTTTCATTCATTTCAATCCAAATGTGGTATACACAACTTTATTCAGGTTAAAAACAAACCCATTGTTGAGAAAGATAGATCAACCTAGGCAAATAATACCCGTAAGTTCCAAAAACATTACCAATTGTTTTTTTTTTAGAATTCATACTCATGTTTTTTTCAATTAGTATGGCACCTCACCAACCTGATTTTCTCAGGAAAACATAGAATCTAATAGTAAGGAACTTCAACATTTATTTATTATAGCAGAACTTGAAAATCAGGTAACTTTATGGATGAATCCAGGATTTCAAAAAAATGAGTGTTCAATTACGAATAGGTGAATTTTATGAATTAATTTGACGGGTTCAAGAACCTCATCTTTAGGCTACACATAGTTTTAAAATGTTTGTTAATTAAAAGAAGGAAAGCACCAGGATAATGAAGTTTAAAAAAATCCGAAGCTTATTTAATACAAGCATCCGCAGAAATGTTAATTTGGCCCCCGAAAAACATGTGAACTTTTAAGATTAAAACATCTGAGTTTGAATACACATCTGAATATATATCTGAATATTGAGATATTGTATTAAGATCTGTATATTGAATATTAAAACTGTTTGTTTTCTCTAAATATGAATGTGTAAAACTTGTCTTTATTTAAACGTTAATAAGTATAAATTCAAATCAAATAGTACAAATTAATTTAATATTATATTAATAAAATATTTCTAAAAAATTATATGGTGGTTGGTGGTGATGATCGCTAACAGTGGTGATTGTGGATGTCGATTGCGTAGTGGCTGGTGGTGGTGTTGGTTGATAATGGTGATTATGGGTAGTAAATAGTGGATAACGGTAGTAGTTAATAGTGGTGGTGACTGTTATTAGTGATGGATGATATATAGTAGTGGTTGATAGTATTGATTGGTGATTGTGGTGGTAATGGTTGTTGTTGGTGATGGTTGTAAATGATGGCTAATGATAGTAACAAATGACTTTCATACTTGGTAGTTGGCAGTAGTGGTAGTTGTGGTTGAGGATGTTGGTTATTGGATGGTGGGTGGTGGTAATATATAATGGTGGCGAACAATGATAGTAGTGGTAATAGTGATTAGTGGTGAAAATATAGGAGTAATAGTGAAATATCAATTGTACATAAATTATTAAATGTATAACATCCTAATATCTTAATGATATTAAGACTCTGTTGTAAATTTTTATCATCAAGACCTATTCAGATTCGTTAGGTAGTTATAAAATTAAAAAATAAAGGGATAATTTCACATAAATACAACTCACACATCTGACTTGCAATATAATAGCCCAGTCATAACTTTACAAATCTGTAGCCCAAAAATAATAGGCTAATATTTGAAAAAAAGAGTATTTTCTAGCTTTTTTATGCGGCAACGGAGTTTAATCAGGACAATTATCTTATTTGGATGAAGTCATGAGATTTTTTAATTCTTCCGTCATCTAATTTTGATCTTTCTCCCCCAATTTGTTTGTCTTTAGTGCTGCAAGTTGTTCCCCAATTTTTCGCTGATTCTACTTATATGGTAAAATTGAGAAACAATTGCTACAGGTTCGTGATTTGGCGGAGAATCAACAAGGAAAGTAGATTTATACATGAATTATTCTAGAAAAGTAAGAAAACATGAAAAAAATTAATTTGATTATACATATGCAGTACATGTATAATGATGTATAACTATGTATAAACTTGTATATGGAATGTATAATCAAAAGAATAAGAGAAAGAAGAAGAAGATAAGTGTCAAACTTCCATGGAGGCCTCTTATATAATGACAACTAGTGAAATTTTCCAATAAGAAATATCACTAAATTTAAAAAAAAAATAATAACATATAGTGGATGAGAGAGATAATTTTTTAAAATTAATATGGATATAAAAGATAATTCTACATATTGATAAATCATATACTTAGCATTTTTTCCTGATTTTCTTTTTAAAATGAAAAAAAAGAGAAAGGATTTTTAAGAAAAAAAATTCACTTACATATATTATAATTAATGAGGAGGAAGTGAGAGGTTAATACATGACTCTTTAAGTACAATTATATGTTAGAGGCATGTAAATAGATATTTTTTTCATTAGATAGTAAAACATCAGCTTTGCTAAAATTTCTCCTATTCAAATAAAAGAAATATGAAATAAAAGTAAAAAAACTAATAACGAAAAGAAAACAAAAGAAATATGTGAAAATTGCAGCGTATTCTTTTTTATATTCCTTCTCGTTATGCCCTTCTTAGCTTTCATCTTTGTCTTTTCTTTTCTATTCATTACTTTCCCTCCCATACATATTCTCCATTCCAAAGGAGAATAGAGTACTTCACTTCAGAATACTTGCTCAATTATTTGTATCCTATCTGCAAAAAATAAAAAAGTTTTTGTCTTACAAATAATAGGCAATTCAAAGAAGAAAATTAAAACATAACTTTCAAAAAGAAAGATAATTATCACAATACTTCAAAAAGAATCAAAAGTTACAAAGTAAACCAAATACTTTATTTTATTTTGTCGTACATATAATACATGATCCAATCATACGAATAAAATAAAAGACAATTTACTACTTACTTTATAAAAATCACAAGTAGAAATGAAGTGATGAATCCGTCTTTCATGATCTTTTATGTGCTTTGATTTGATGCTCCATGTTTGTCCTGCAAAAGAAACTATAAGGATAAAATTAAACCTCTAATAATATAATAATATAATTTTTGATAAAGGGAGGCTTCTCCTATGTCATGTCAAATTTGCATCGATAAAAGAGATTTATCCTCTCCTATAAAGAATAAAAAATAATTCTTTTATAAAACCTCGTCTAATACTAATATCTAATCAAAGAAAGGTTATAAAAACCAAGAAATACAAAATTTCACTTGGTGGAAGTTATGTGCTCCATAAAGATAAGGGATTGATACACTTCTCCATGTATTCAACACAAAAGCCATCTGCTTCTCGTATAATAGACGCAAATAAGATCTATTTTTGATAGAGAATTGCAAATGAAGGAACAAAATTTGAGGAATGGACAGAATTGAAAGAGGAAAAAAAAATAGGAAAATATATGAAATTCAGAATAGCAGAATATGTTATGTTTTCATAAACGTGAAGTACATGTAATCTTCTAGTTTGGGTGTCTTCCTCTCTTCACTGTATGGCCAAATAAGTCAGTTGAAAATGAATTTATTGGATCATTATGATGCATTAACTGCTTTTGATAAATTGGAAGAATGAACAATATGTAACGAATGAAAAAACAAAGGAGAAGACGTAATTGCGAGGCGACTATTAAGGAAATTTAGTGTACTAACTTTTCAAAAATAGATGACTGTTGAACATTTTCTTTTTAAAATTGATGACTATTCAACATTTTTCTAAAAGGTGTCTAAGAAGAAAACATCAGCACTTACGGTCCTTGCTAAACGCCTTTTTAGTTCTCCATTATTATAAATAATAACAATTTTGTTGATAATTATGATGAATTAAATTGCCTAAGAAATGGAAGAAACGTTACAATTAAGTATAATTGTATTATATTTAATAGTATAAAGTTCATTGAAAGGGAAAAAGATTTTTGGGCAAATTTTTTTTCAAAAAAACAAGAAAAAAGATAAATAGCAATCCTCATCTATGAAAGATGCCACATCAGCTTTCTTATTCCCAACTTTATATATAGATATTGACAGAGCCGGAGCCAGGATTTCAAGCTTATGGGTTCGGGATTCTAATCGTTTTAAGTTATTCGGTTCTAACTTAATAATTTATACATATTCAATGAAATTTTTAAGACAAATACAAGGTTCGAACCAAAGCTACTGGGTTCGGCCGAACCCGCTGACGTCACTCTAGCTCCGCCTCTG